ACGACAAAAGTAAAGTATGCCAAATTGATGAAAAAAAATCTGAATAAAATACAACATGACACGTTCAGTCAATAGTCCTATACGTTGATGTCAATCAATACAAACTAAGACGGGTTCATCACGCGATTTGATTATTCGAAACACGTTCATAATCAAATATGAATTGCGAAGGACGACCGTCTATCATGTGCCGCATTAGATTAGGCCAATACGATCCATTAAATTTAGGGGGCGGATGGTTTCCTCGAGCCCTCGCGTTCGTCTAGGGTTCGGGAGGAGGATGGGGTTTCCGATCGCCGACGTGGCGCGATCCTGTCCGTCCGAGGAGACACGGAATCCTTGGCGCGATCCTGTCCGTCCGGGGAGACACGGAATTCCCGCAAGAAGCTTCGCGCTGGCTTCGTTCCCTTCCTCCTCTCCCCGACGAGACGATACGATACGGACCCCTTCGATATTATCGCGAGATGTCCCGCGACGAGCGTTGATACCGAACGACTCGCCGCACGAAGGAGGCCGCGCGAGCGGATGGACGGAGGGATGGACGGAGGTGTGAATAATGCTCGTGGGTGGGGCCCGCCACACGCGGCGATTCGGTGCCGTTTATGGTGATGTTTTTCTTCTTTCTTTCTCTGTCTCTATTTTGGGGCTCGGGAGGGAATCTCGGACGGTACGAGTCCCAACCCCAACGTAACAAAAACATTGGTTTCTTGGGATAAGGTGGGATATTTTTCCACTTTCATAAATTTCCATTTTTTTTATCAAAAAAAAAAAGACTATGGCTAATGTATTTAGAGTGCGTTTGGTTCAGTTTTGGGAAAGAGCTTTCGGCTAATGTATTTAGAGTGCGTTTGGTTCAGCTTTGGGAAGGGGCTTTCGGCCTCAAAAGCTCCTTCCCAAAATGTTAAACCGTTTGGTTCAACTTTCGACCTAGCATTTGGAATGCTGAAAGCCCAAAGCTGGTCCGGACCAGCTTTAGGCTTTTCGACATTCCACGAATGCTGAACCCAAATTTTTTGTCCCCAAACTACTCTAACTTATTTTGGCTTATTCCGGTTTTGCCCCTCTTGTTATTGTTTATCTTCTTCGTGAGGCGACCGCGCGAGGGAGGTCGGCGAGGGCGGCCGACACCAGATCGAGCCGGCGAGAGGCCGGCGAGGTCGCACGACCCAGGCGATGACCGCCTGAGGTCGCGGGACCACCCAGGCACCGCCTGCTTGGGTTGCACGAGGCCGTCGACCGCCTGGCCTCGGGCAACGGCCGCCGGCGGCAGATCTGGCTCGCCGGGGCTCGCCCGACCTCGGGCGACGGCCGCTAGCGCTAGATCTAGCTCGCCAGCGGCCGTAAGCCTTCTCCAATCGCCGGCTCCGGCGAAGGGTAGGGTAGAGTTTTTTGTTTTTTAATAAAAAAATAATTCCCAAAGACCTTTTGCAAAAAAAATTTACCAAACACTACTTTGGCCAAAGTAGCTTTACAAATGATGTTTTACAAAACGCCACTTGCATTTCCCCAAAGGGCTTTAACATAAAGGTATTTGCATTCTCCCAAGTAGCATTTTGAAAGTTGAACCAAACGCACCCTAAAGGCTTTTAGCCCAAGGCAGGTTTGGAGATACTTTGGCAAGTTGAACTTTTGGAATGTAAGATTAATGTTCATCGTAGCACTTTTCATCTTCTCCAAGCGGCAAGTCCGGCGACCGCTACTTGAGGGATCGCGCAACTTCGACCCAGGCGTGGCTGGCTGGCGACCAGACTTGGTGGTTGGCCGGCGACATCCGACAGCCGATGGCTGAGCTCCACCTCAAATGTTTTTTTTTTTTTTAAATATTAGCAAAAGTCCTTTACAAAATATAGTTTTTACCAAATGGTATTTAGGCAAAAACTGCTTTCAAATGTGATTTTAAAATACACTTACCAAACACTACTTGCATTTCGAAAAACCCCTTTGGCCCAAAGGCCTTTGCATTTTGCCAAAGGCATTCCCCCAAAGCCGAACCAAACGGGCCCTTAGGGCTGAACCCGAAATCTCTCATGTTAGAACGGGTTCCTAATTTTCGGAACCAGGTATGTTTTTTAGGTCCGTTCTAGATCTACTCGAGAATTTATTTATTTTTGTTTCTTTTTTTTTTGGTTTCATTTTTTGTAGAAACATGATACGCGCAACAAATCGGTTTGAAGTTAAAAGATGCACGAGGGCGAGCGAGCAGAGGCAAGTTGGGAACGAACGAGGGTTGCGAGGCTCGAACAAAGCGAGGGCGAGTCACAAGTGAGCGTAGTGAAATTTTTGAGTGAGGTTGGAGATGACAGAGAAAAAGAAAGGGATAAAGAAAAGATGCTAAGAGAAAAATCGGGGTTTTAGACTTTATGAAATCGGTTCCAAATTCGGTCTGGTCGGTCGAGTTTCCGGGTGATTATTCACTTGGAATCGAGAATCGGAGCGGCTTTCAGGGCAATCCGACTCGGTTCCAGAGAAAAATCAGTCCAGATGCGCGGCCTTAATGGGATTAGTTTGAAAAATTAGTCAATTGAATAATGTGCTAAATTATAAATAAGCTTCTAAATGTACTCATTTTTTTATCCCTAAATAGAGTATGTCGTGTTCTGTTATATACTAATTTGTAAATCGATCGTGCTGTACTTAACACTATTTAAAGAATTATTTGAATTTTTATTTTATTATGTAATTAGGTTTTTTTTTTTTTCAATAAGAATGGCGAGTTAAAAAGATGTTTGGTGGGGGTTATAAAAAGTCGAGCAGTGATTTTTTTTTTTGAACTTTTTAAATTTAAATATAGAGAACTTTCTTTAAATTTGAGAGAAAATGAAAAAAAAAAAATTTGCGCATGATATCCAATAACTTTAATTGTCATTTTCTATATATTTTTATAAGAATTTGTGGTGTCCAACAGTTAACCTCGATCATCAAGGGTAAAAACATGCAAACGAAATTAGAATAAATTTTATTCGAATTACACGCTAAATGAATATGTTGAACATCTTTCGGAAAAAAAAAAGCATTTCGAGGGATAAAATGAGATGAATTTTAGGGAAAAAAGATGCATTATTTGGAAAGTAAGCTCATAAGGAATATATTGTCTGGCCTGGCCAGTAGCATGTTATTCCAATTTTGTTATTTTCATGAAAAATATATAGGAAGTAAATAACCGTGGAAATCATTATTATCAATAAATATGAATTGGTTGAGTAACTTGAGTTATCGTCATGCATGTTGGATTGGTTTCAACTTTTTCCCGTCGCTACAAAATCAACGCACACTACTTGTCGTGTGTTTTGTAACGAATAAAAGGCTCCGTTCGTTTTGTAAAAAATAAATGATTTGAAAAATATTTTTTTGAAAATAATCGTTTGTACTGTACACAAAAATGAAAGAGCAAAGAATATTTTCATTATCCACGAAAATGTTTAGACTGAAATTGTTATCGATAATGAAAACATTTTACGTTGACTAATTATTTCAAGCGATACAAGTGATCATTTTTAGGAAAATACTTTCCAAATTATTCATTTTCCACAAAACAAACGAACTCTAGTAGTTTCAAGCTTCTTTTTTAAGATAGTAGATAGTTTTTTATTTAAAGTAAAAGCAACGGTGGATTTTCTGCTTCGGTGGTTTTACAAATTTTATCCTTTGAAGAAAAATTTATTTTTAGAGGAAATAGAAGATTTATTTCCAACTGAAAATAAATGGAGAATCAATAGAAAATGTTGAAATTGCAAAAAGTATTTAAATATAATGCAGGAAAACTGAAAATAGGAAGCATATAATAAGCATTTTTCCAAAGAAAAAAAAATAGGCAAGGGTAGTTGGACCATAATCATGCATTAAATGAAAAACAAATCTCCTAAGGAATCCTTCTCATGGCAAGCAGAGATTCACAGAAGACAATCTTTGTCATTATCATCTTCTACCAAATACAGGAAGTAGATGAGCACAAAATCAATCAGATACTCTTTTTTTTTTTTTTAAAATATAGGAAGTGATTAAGAGCTTATCTTTCATGGGGTTAAGTAATTGGATTAGTTTCAAATTCTTACATTTTACGGCGCATAGACATCTAAGCCTGTATGGCTAAACATGGTCCATCATTGAAAACATCATCCCTTTTAACCTATTTATAATCGACGTACTTAATTCACATCCCGATGGCTTTTAAGGGAAAGAAAAATCGAAGGTTAATAATCAATCTTCTAGAAAGGAAGAAGCTGGACCGGTGAAATTAGCAGAGACGGATCAGAACCGGATATCTTAAAACGCATCCTCCACATGAATATTAGTCTTGTACGACACATAACCGATGCCATCCGTGATGTGAAAAAGGGTAAAAAGGATGTGGTCATCGTCGGAATATATGACTTTCGGTAAAATAAGCGAATGGCACGAACTGCAGGTCGAATCCTCAACAAGGGGCAAGCATGGTAGCAAATATGCTGACAAACCAAATATAGCGAATTGATCTTAGCAAACACCTAATTTAATCACGGCCGACGCACGAAATTCGGTGGTCCTACGTACGACTCCCAACGTTGGCCGAGAAGGAAGAGGAACCTTCCCGCGATAAGTTGAGAAAAGATATTTCTCTTCTTCTTCTTCTTTTTGGCTTTTTTTTCTTTCTTTTTTTTGGTTGGTGTTTTTACTGCCCACAAACGGATGGGGCCCACGAGGGCCTCGGCTTCCCCCTCCCCCCCTACCTCCTTCTCCGCTATAAAAGGCACCTCCTCCGCTCATGCAATTCTCGCCCATTCTTCCTTCGCGTCACGTCTTTTCTCTGGCCGAAGAAAGGATAGCCTCCTCTTCTTCCCCCGCTCCCTCAAACCTAGCCGTTATCATCATCACCACTTTCCCTCCTCTTTCCCTCACTTTCCCGGAAAATCCCCCTCGCCCTCGCCCTCTCTCTCTCTCTCTCTCTCTCTTTCTCGCTCGCCGTCTCGCGATTTTTCCTCGCCTCCTTCCTCCTGCCCCCCTGACCTCACACATTCAAGATCCGCCCGCGACCAAAACCTCTCTCTCTCCCTCCCTCTCCCTCTTCGCGCTCAGCGCCTCTCAGATCCGCGCATGGTGAGATCTTGCTCCGGCGCGTGAAACCTCCGAACCGCCGCCGCCGCAGCACGCGCGGCCGTGTCCCGGCGAGCCGGAGATTTTGCTGCCCCGCCCCGTCCCCCCCCTTCCTCCCTCCTCCCCCTTCCCTGCTGAGCCTCCGCCGTAGTTATTACGGATCTGCTGAGGCGCGAGAGTGTGTCGCTTTGCTCTAGGGTTCCGATCTCTTACTGCTTCGTTTGAGGGGGTAGCCGGGGCCTCGGCCTCGGCGGGTTTTAAAGCCCCCACCTTCACAAATCTATCGAACAACAACGACTGTAACAACGACGGCGGCAACAATTGCTCCTCTAAGCTCTTGATCCTTTACCTGTTCCTTCCTCCGCGGAAAAGAAGAGACCGCCGTAATGCCTGCCCTCGCTTGCTGCGTGGACCCCGCCGCCGCGCCTCCCGGCTACGCCCTCGCCGTGGACGGCTCCCTCCACCCGCTGGCGGCGGCGGCGGTCCCGCCTTTCTCCGGCGCTCCTCTCTCGACGACGACCACCGCCGCCGACGCCGCCGCCGTTGAGGACGGGTCCTTCTGGTCGCCCTCGCTGTCGGCGTCCCTCTACCGGATCCCCGGGTGGGGGGCTCCGTACTTCGCGGTGAACGGGTCCGGGAACATCTCGGTCCGCCCGCACGGCGCGGAGACCCTCGGCCACCAGGAGATTGATCTGCTCAAGATCGTCAAGAAGGCCTCGGATCCGAAGTCCGTCGGCGGGCTTGGGCTGCAGCTGCCCCTCATCGTGCGGTTCCCCGACGTGCTGAAGAACCGCCTCCAGTCGCTGCAGTCGGCTTTCGACTTCGCAGTTCGGTCGCTCGACTACCAGGCTCATTACCAGGGCGTTTATCCCGTCAAGTGCAATCAGGACCGCTTCGTTGTGGAGGATATTGTCGAGTTCGGGTCCCCATTCAGGTTCGGTCTCGAGGCCGGGTCGAAACCGGAGCTCCTTCTTGCAATGAGCTGCTTGTGCAAGGGAAACCCGGAGGCTTTGCTGGTATGTAACGGGTTTAAGGATTCCGAGTATATATCTCTCGCTTTGGTCGCTAGAAAGCTTGCAATTAATACTGTGATTGTGCTTGAGCAAGAAGAAGAGATCGATTTGGTCATTAATTTGAGCAAGAAGTTCTCTGTGAGGCCTGTAATTGGTGTTAGGGCTAAGCTTAGAACCAAGCATTCTGGTCATTTTGGGTCGACTTCGGGTGAGAAGGGTAAGTTCGGGTTAACCACAACTCAGATTTTGCGAGTTGTGAGGAAGCTCGACCAAGCTGGGATGCTCGATTGCCTGCAATTGCTGCATTTCCATATTGGGTCTCAGATTCCTTCGACAATCCTGCTTGCTGATGGGGTCGGAGAGGCAGCACAGATCTACTGTGAGCTTGTCCGTCTCGGTGCCCAAATGAAAGTTATCGACATTGGAGGCGGTCTTGGCATCGATTATGATGGATCCAAATCCAGTGATTCTGATATCTCTGTTGGATATGACCTGCAAGAGTATGCTTCAGCTGTTGTCCGGGCTATTCGCTTTGTATGTGACCGCAAATCCGTGAAGCATCCCATAATCTGCAGCGAAAGTGGCCGTGCAATTGTCTCTCATCACTCGGTTCTGATCTTCGAGGCTGTTTCTGCCAGTGCTTATGAAGCCCCTGCCATATCTTCTCCTGGATTGCAACAATTCATGGAGAGTCTGACGGAGGATGCTCGTGCAGATTACAGCAACTTATATTCTGCAGCCATGAGAGGTGAGTATGAAACTTGCTTGCTCCATGCTGATCAATTGAAGCAGAGATGCATTGAGCAGTTCAAAGAAGGAATTCTGGGCATCGAACAGCTTGCCGCGGTCGATGGCCTGTGTGATATGGTTTCCAATGCATTGGGTGCTTCAGACCCGGTGCGTACTTACCATGTGAATCTCTCCATATTCACTTCGATTCCCGATTTCTGGGGTATCGGGCAGCTCTTCCCTATTGTTCCTATTCATCGACTGGAACAAAGGCCTGGAATGAGGGGGATTCTTTCCGATTTAACTTGTGACAGCGATGGGAAGATCGATAAGTTCATTGGGGGTGAGTCAAGCTTGCCTTTACATGAGTTAGAAGGTGAACGCAGCATCTCTGGTAGCGGTGGTAGGTACTATTTGGGGATGTTCTTGGGTGGGGCATATGAGGAGGCGATCGGAGGACTTCATAACCTTTTTGGTGGCCCTAGTGTTGTGCGGGTTTCTCAGAGCGATGGTCCACATGGCTTTGCAGTGACTCTCGCTATGCCAGGACGGTCCTGTGGGGATGTCCTCCGGGTGATGCAGCACGAGCCCGAGCTCATGTTTGAGACACTCAGGCACCGAGCAGAGGAGTACGGCAGTGGACAGTACAACGATCCCATGGGCAATGATGCTTTAGCTAGCCGCCTTGCTCAATCTTTCCACAACATGCCTTATCTCGTGGCCACTTCCTCGTGTGCCCTTAATGCTATCAACAACAATGGCTTCTACTATTGCAACGAAGATGATTATAATGCTGCTGTTGCTGATGCTGCCTCTGGAGAGGATGAGCAGTGGTCTTACTGCTGTGCTTGAAGTCTCGAGTTACTTAGCATTCCCAATAAGTCACCTTTGGTGGCGGTGAGCGGTTGTCCTCAAGGTCGTCGTCTGCTGTTTTTCTTTTTCCTTTTTTCCCAATTTTTTAAGTAATTTTAATTTCAAGAGACGCAAATGGATGTTAGGCGAAAGCAGTGTCCTTAGCCTTTTGTCGAAAGGGGCGGACATGAGAACCAAAACTCATCCTCTACAAGTTTGGTTTCTTTGTTCCCTCCGTTCATGTCCTCTTTGTGAGATTCTTGAAATTTATCATTAGTTTCTTCAATGATGGCTATGCTTTGTCTCTTTCTGCTTCTTTCAAGTTGCTACTAGTGAAGAGCTGAGGCTATGTTTTAATGTCATTTGTGGCCTTTCTCAATCGCTGGCGATCTGTTCCAAGGGAAATTCTAATGGGAATGCCAGATCTTGGTAGGGCCAAAACGAGGGAAAGTTGGTTATTTATGCAAGTAAGAAACAGAGAGGTTGGTCTTATCCTTTGAACGGAAAAGTCAGGAATCATGATTGAGAGATCATGTGTTGTGGGGTCTGACTGAAATGCTATACAAAGTTTGACCATACCGCTGGCTTGTGTCGTGACCAGGAGTGGTTAAATTTGACCAGACAAAAGGACAAACTTCTTAATTACTTTTAACTATCCTGGTATATTTGTAGATTAAAGAGCTATTTTCCCAGGATATCAAGTATGTGTCTCCTGAGAAGAAGGGAGAGGTAGGGGTCTATTGGCCACAAAGTTCTCTGGGTGTCAATGCATAGCCTGAAGAGCTCTTGTGGCCAAGATTGGATTGGGTTCTATAAGGCAACAGCAGATGAAGATGCGAAGACTGTTGGTTTAACTCACGAGACACACAAGTTCATTCATTTTATTATTCATTCAGATTAGATTGGGTTGGGTCTAGAAGGGGGGATGCCCTAGTATAGATGATGCTTGAATCTAGAGTCAGGGCATGGGTTCGAGGCTGGCTAGTGGCTTTTAGCAGAACATCAATCAGGACAAGAAGATTTTTGTCTTTCTTGCTAGCAACGCATGAATAAAGTCTTTGGAAATTCAGTGCAGGGAATGTTGCTGGTGGTTGGGATACCACTAGAGATTCCTGTTCATTGTGTTTGCTTTGGAATGAAAGAGTCTCCCATCTTTCGGTTTGTACTTTGTGGTATGTTTATCATGATTCTCTCTTATCGAAATACGAATGTGAAGTCGAATCTTAAATGGGATAATGTCGCAAATTAATCTCTGAACTTTGGCCAAATGTGCAATGTGGTCATTGGTTCTTCAATTTGTTTAATGTAGTTCTTGAACTTAAGCCCAATGTGCAATATAGTTCCTGAACTTTAACCCAATATGCAATGTGATCACTGAACTTTTTATTTGTTCAATGTGGTGGTTCCTAAACTTTTGATAAATGTTCAACTTAGTCCTTGAATTATATGAAAATATTCATTATCCTTGCATTAATTTAAGTATAGGGACAACATTGAATATTTTCATATAGTTCAGGCACAACTAAAAGTCCAAGTACCGTATTGAACAAATTAAAAGTTCATGAATCACATTGCACATTGGGCTAAAGTTCATGGACCACATTGAACAAATTAGGGATAATGACACAAACAGTCCATGAACTTTGGTCTAATGTTCAATGTGGTCCCTAAACTTTTAATTTGTTCAATATAGTCCCTGAACTTTAGCTTAATGTTCAATGTGGTCCTTGAATTTTTGGTACATGTTCAATGTAGTCTCTAAATTATATGAAAATGTTCAATATAGTCCATGGACTTTTTGTACATGTTTAATGGAAAAGACTATATTGAACATTTTCATATTGTTCAGGGACTAAATTGAACATGTACCAAAAGTTCAGGGATGACAGTGAACAAATTAAAAATTCAGGGACCACATTGCACATTGGGTTAAAGTTCAGGAACTGCATTGAACAAATTAAAAGTTTAGGGACCACATTGCACATTGGACCAAAGTTCAAGAATCATTTGTGTCATTATCCCATCTTAAATTTATGATCTAGGAATCAAGAGCCGCATCATAAGCCTCGATGACAAGCTAAAGTCAAAAGTTATTTTCCTAATATACACATAGATAAAATGCGTGACTCATGTCCTGAAATGTTTTGAATAAGATCCATCATTCAAGCAAAAATATCTCTATTTGGATTACATACAGCGGTTTCATGTTCTGCACATTATTTTTTCGAACAAGTATTGCGGTTTAAACTTAAAGACGGAAGTTCTGACCAAAAAAGCCTTAAAGACGGAAGGTTTATGGGCAAAATATTTCTAATTTATAAAAGATTTAGTTTTTAAAAAATTTTTAGGTACTACATAGTGTATACAAGTTAATGTTCAAGCGCAAAAGAAAACGAAGAAAAGAAAGATTAAAATCAAAAGGCTTTCCAAATAGTCCTTTCAAAATTAGGGCTCCATTTATTTTGCGGAGAATAAATGATTTGAACAATATTTTCCTTAAAAATGATCACTAATATCCCTTGAAATAATCAGCCAATAAGAAATATGTTCATCATCAATAATAACTTATGTTTAGATATGCTCGTGGACGATGAAAATAATTTTCATTCATTTATTATTGTGAGCAATATAAACGATAAAATTTAAGAAAATGTTTTTCAAATGGGAAAATCCGAAAAGAATGCAGAGAAGTGGCCAAGAATCTGTTGAAAAAAAAGAGAGAGGGGAAGAGAGCCGTTTTGCGAACAATGCAGATCCTCCTCGGGTCAGCTTTTGTGGGCCCATACTCTCAATCAGGAGCTCCGGAATAAACAACCGCTCGGGCCAGCCGACCTATCGCGTCTCGCCACGTCAGACCGCATCAAACGACCCTCCCCTCCCCCCCAACTGAATTTCTGTTTTCCCTTCTCGCACAATCTCTCTCGCTCTCTCCCCTCTCCCCCGTGACTCCATCATCGGCGAAAGGACCGAAACGACCCCCCTCGTCCCGGCGCATCGTGCACCTGTGCCGCTCCTGAGCGGTCCACGTGGCGGTGGCGGGAGCGGGGTGGTCCACATCCCGCGGCGTCATCAACTGTCCCACACGGACGCTAATCGATGAACTGAACACATACACGCTCTTTCTCTCCTTCACATGCACCGGTTGGGACCAGCTGAAATCACCGGAGATGGGCTAGTTGCAATAACGTGTGATTGCATGGAATGGCTACGGCTTAAAGTGGTCATCCATAAATTAATTATAAATAAATAAAAAATATATATTATATATATAGATATGGTTTGTCCTAAGGACACGTAATTGTCATGATGAATCAGAAGTTTTGTACGTAATGATCATTGTGGACTAGAACTTGGCTTCCTAAGTTGCAACTTTCTTCGAATGTCAACGCGATTACAAGTTTTTTTATTATCTAAGACTAGAGTCATGTCAGCAATTGTCACTCCACCTTTGTGTTTTCCGACCTAAAAGGTTTAGACTTCCTTAAGGGTCACTTGATCAGATAAAAGAAATCCACTGTTATAACACAACCGCACGAATTGTTATTATGATAAAAGGTCCTCAGGACATGACTTACTACTGAGTTATGACCGATTTGACGGTTCTTATAGGTAGGTGATAATTCTGCGTCTAGCGATCTGTTGAATATGTTAAAGCCCCGAGGCACAAATATAGTTGGCTCTGGACAAGCTCTTCGGTTCTTGGGCCCGTTCTTCTTAACTGCACTTGTGCTTGCCCGTGCTCAAACAGTTCTACTTAAAAAGAGATTTACACAATTTCATCTCGAGCCGACTCGGGCAGAAGGTTTTTCAAACTCAATGCAAGCTCGTCCATACATTAATCAGGTTTTTTTTTTTGAAATCGGTTATCATCTACTTTAATGGTACCGTGGTTGCCTAGGACTTGTTTGGTAAAGTTTCTGTTTTTTTGTTCTTTTATTCCCCATAATAGAAAAGGAACATAAATCCGTTTGGTAGTGTTAATTAATTTTCTATTCCTCGGAATAGAAAAGTGACTAGGGAATAAATTTGAAACAGAAATAAAAAGTAAAATAATCTACTTTTTTGTTCACCGGAACAAAAAGAGAAACAATAGAGAAACAAAATCAGCTCTCTCTCTTTCATAAGATATTCCCACGATAAACCCAAAACCCCAAAATCCTAAAAATCTAAAAAACCCAATACCCTAAACCCCATTACCCAAACCCTAAAACACTGAACACTAAAACACTAAACCCTAAACTCGAAATTCAAAACCCTAAACCCTAAACCCCAAAACTTTAAACCTAAAAACCATAAACCCCAAAATCTGAACCCTATAACCCCAAACCCCAAACCCGAAACATTAAATCCTAAACTCTAAACCCTAAAACCCGAACCCTTTACCTAAACACTAAAACCATAAACCCAAAACCCCAATACCACAAAACCCAAACCCTAAAGCTCTAAACCCCAAATCAGAAACCCTAAAAACTCAAATCCAGAACCCTAAAACCCAAAACCAGAATCCCTAAAACCCTAAACCCCAAAACCCTAACCCTAAATACTAAACCCTAAAACCCCACACCCCATACCCCATGGCCTAAACCCCAAACCCCCTAAACCCCAAATCCTAAACCCTAAACACTTAAACCCTAAACTGCAATTTCCTTGTCCACCCCCGGCATTTGTTTTGTCTATAAGGAGTAATTTTCTTTATGATTTTATAAAAGTCATCCAATTCTATATCATAATATATTTTGATTATCTTTCCAATCCATTTTTATCCAAACATGAATGGTTAAGTCTCCACTGATATTTTTATAATTATATGAAAAAATTGGGAGTAGAAATTTTTAGGGTCGTACCAAACGATTTTTGTTCTTTTTCTATTTTAAAAATAGAAATTTTGTATAGTTACCATACGTGTTCATCTCCTCAGAAACTCGTCAAGGGAATATAAATAGAAAAAATTATTTTTTAATAGAAATTGTTCTCAAGAGACGTTACCAAACAGATCCTTACTAAGTAAATAGTTAGGTAGATAGGATGTGAACTCTTTACCCCACACAACGCTCTTTTCGGTGTTGCGACAAATTTCTCGATCATTCTTTTAGCCACGCAAATGAAGTAGTCATCAACGATTGTGCTTTGCACGAAGTACTGTTCCCAAATCGGCGGGCCGCTGTCCATGGAGATCAGCCGAAAGTCGGGAACAAAAAAACACACAATCATAAATCCAACGGCTTTGGTCGTTTTAAGAATCTTCAGGAGTCCAAAAAGCACAAATCTTAAGTTAATGGGTAGCCA